TATGATCGTCCTGGAGGTTCTGGAGGAGGTTTTACTCCTGATGGTATGTATCTAGAGCTACACTGGCAAGAAGCTACAGGGTCATCTACATTATAAACCAATAAAATAACGATAATTAATAACTGTAAAACAAAATTATAAACCTGAACTACGTCGTGCCTTTGGCTTGCTAACAGCTATAAAGCTCTTCATCTTTGTTTTGAGTTTAGCTATTACGGTCTTGATAAATTCCTTCTCTGTACTATTCGGTTCTTCCTATAATTTCAAATAAAAGATCGCAATATATTAAGCAGATGATAGAGCTAACCTGAGGTGGAATGCCTTGTTGATAGTAATGAATCCGATCAGGATAAATTGTCATTATTCCTGATATAAGAATTATCTCAGCTATTATTTACTGCTTACTATCATACAGCTTACCATAGCCCACAAATGATCTATTTGCAGTTCTCTTAGCCTCAAACAGTACCCCAGGACCATAGGCTATGTCATCCCTCACTTGAAGTTTGGGAGTCTTTCTCTCTTGAAGCTTCAATTTCTGAAAGTGAGTATGTGACATACAATAACCTCATCATGTTATATGCACTCACTCCTAATTTGACAGTAAGTATTCCATTAGCATAAGTCACTACTGCACCAAATGGAACTACTGATCTAAAAGGCTTTTTTATTGGCAGTTGGGCTGCTGGTGCACCTTTAAAGTCCTCTTCTTCTTCAAGCTATATATACATAATTATTGCAACATACATATTACCTTGTTCTATGATCATACCTCAACAGGCTCCCTAACACTCCTCTTATAATATCCAGTGTGAGGCACACACCTAACCCAGAATCTATAGCCACAATGTTGACAGCATTGCCCACTAGTAAAGGTAATTTGTATGAGGCTACCACCAGCTTCATATATATCAGGAAAACAATTGCTGTTAGTAGTCCCACAAACTTTTTTGTCTATGATGCGACCACTATTAATGTGAACGGCATCAAGACAATTTCCTAAGATAAGCAAATTAGTAAATATATCTAATGTGATTAGATCTATAGCTTAGTACCATTGTTTTCTGGCAAGCCTACACTTGAGCAATGTATTGTTGCTACATGATCCAACGGACACATCACTTGATGAATGCAGAAGTATTTTGGTGGATAGCATTGATCTGATAAGGAAAAGTATGGATCCTCAATGAGGCAGTCAATGGATCCGTCATGGTTTTTATCACAGGATTGCTTCACAATAGCTCTTTTGATATCATTTTCATTAAAAGAAGGCTTAAAGGGACTCCCCATAAAATAAGGGACACACAACTGATTGCTACAATGAGATATATTATATAAGATAGACTAATACATTTACACAGCATACCTTGAAGTTCTTCCTAGTTTGTTCTTGATTGACTTGTGTCTACTCCCAAAAAAGTTCACAGCATCAATGTCAATGTTTTTGTCTGGACCACAGGTACAACCAGATACACCATTAGAAGATACAATTAACACCACAAGTAGCAGGTACCAGCAGTGCTCTTTCAAATACATTGAAGTGTTCATCATAAGACTGCCACTGACTGCTAATAGTTTACTGTTTGAATTGCAACTATCTCCTTGATCCTTTATATAGTTTTTGCTTTTAACAGTAACCAACACACAGGCCTTTGAGCAAGCAAATATCCAGACAATACGGTACCTATGAGTAAATACAACTGCCCACATGTTATTATCAAATCATGACAAAACTGTAACTGATAGTTTACACACTTATGCACACCTCAAGGCACACCTAAAAATTCAATCGTCATTTTGTTGAAGGTTTTATCCCTATTAGGCACTAGGGGATCAAACAGTTTATCCTGTAATCAGAGAGCTAGTCATTCTCATCAGGCATCACTGATAGCATCATAATGAAACTGCATAATCCCCAGGGGACCCTATAGGGTACTAATAGTCAGGAAGAAGATCAGAATCAGCTACATGAAATGAGAACATATAGATCTATATCAGAAAATGTAGTGCTAAAATTAATTTGCCAGACTTGCTCATGTAGAGTGCAGACTACAATAACTTAAAATTTAAACAATTATTTCTTGATTTTAAATTTTAAACAGCAAAGTTGTAAGTTACATTGAGCTGAGGTTCTTATCAGTGGGTAGAGGTTAACGTAGGAGGTCCTATTGTAGGATTCCCGGGTTTGATGGGTCCTCGAGAAGCCGGAGGTCTCTCAGTTGGTGGAGCTATTGATGGAGGTCCCCTAGTGGGAGGAGCTGTTGATGCTGTAGTAGGTGCTTGAGTGGGCGGTCCAAGTGTAGCAGGTTTGTTGTCGTAATATTTCAAGTAAAGTTTAGCCCAATACTTGACAATTGGTTTATTGCTGTATTTGGCATAGTACCTAGCATCCTTAAGAACTGCAATAGAAATGAAAAAAAATTTTAAACTGCAACAAGTAGATCTAGATCTTACAGTGGGATCCTCCTGGAGTTTTGTTCGGCCCTGGAGGCGGTGCTACGCCAGGTGGTGGTCGGTAATGTGAACACTGACAAGAAGAAGCACCAGGCCCATCTAAAAATAACCAAAAAATTAATAATTAGGGTAATTGTAAAAATACTTGGACCACGATGTCCTGTCTCAAGTGACGTGTTGACAACTATGAAACTCTTCACTTTTGACTTGATACTAGCTATTACGGTCTTGATAAATTCCTTCTCCGTACTATTTGGTTCTTCCTATAATTTCAAATAAAAGATCGCAATATATTAAGCAGATGATAGAGCTAACCTGAGGTGGAATGCCTTGTTGATAGTAATGAATCCGATCAGGATAAATTGTCATTATTCCTGATATAAGAATTATCTCAGCTATTATTTACTGCTTACTATCATACAGCTTACCATAGCCCACAAATGATCTATTTGCAGTTCTCTTAGCCTCAAACAGTACCCCAGGACCATAGGCTATGTCATCTCTCACTTGAAGTTTGGGAGTCTTTCTCTCTTGAAGCGTCAATTTCTGAAAGTGAGTATGTGACATACAATGAACACCTACATATAGGTATACTCACTCCTAGTTTGACCGTAAGTGTTCCATTAGTATAAGTCATTACTGCACCAAATGGAACTACTGATCTAAAAGTCTTCTTAATTGGTAACTGAGCACCTTTAATGTCCTCTTCTTCTTCAAGCTATATATACATAATTATTGCAATAGAATATTACTTTATTCCATGATCATACCTCAACAGGCTCCCTAACACTCCTCTTATAATATCCAGTGTGAGGCACACACCTAACCCAGAATCTATAGCCACAATCTTGACAGCATTGCCCACTAGTAAAGGTAATTTGTATGAGACTACCCCCAGCTTCATTAATATCAGGAAAACAATTGCTGCTAGTAGTCCCACAAACTTGCTTGCCTCTGACGCGACCACTATTAATGTGTACGGCATCAAGACAATTTCCTTTGAAGAAGATAAACAAATTAGCAAATTAGTAAATATGCCTAATGTGGTTAGATCTATAACTTAGTACCATTGTTTTCTGGCAAGCCTACACTCGAGCAA